TTGTATTTTCTTATATGGACAGGACAGTGTTTTCTTTTTCTAAAAACAAACACAGACTGAGTTTATGAATAAGAGAAGGTTTGATCTCATTATATAACATCACACCTCAGCAAAATGAGAAGGATTTTTGTCCTCAAAAATAACTTTTATTGCAAGAAAAAAAAACAGAGCAAGAATGTTTTTCAAACACAGAAAAATCAGAAGGGCTAGATAGGGCAGCTGTTGTTAACACTAAATTTCTCCTTGACTTTTGTTTTGTGGTTGTGCAGAAATCACTGCAAACACTGTAGGGAGCGCTGTGCAAATTCGTGCTAAGTATAGCTCAGAGACTGGCCTTCTTTTACCACTTCCATTGTCAGCTATCATTTAGTACATATAAAACTTACATTGGCATAGCTTTTGCAATATTAGTACTCAGAGCTTCAACATTTGAAACCAATTTTTTTAATAAATATTTCTTCAGCAATTTTTAAAAAAACTATGTGTAGTCATTACAATTTCAAACAAAGAATCTGAGACCACTGATCACCTTGTGAATCAGAATTAAATATAGATTTTTGTAACCATTATTTTTTAAAAGGCTTATTTTTCTAGGCAATTTTTTGAGGACCAGATTCACAATATTTTGATGCACAGTTTGGTGTAATATTCTCTTCATTAGCTATATTAATTTCTAACAGGTGGCTGGTCTCTTCAAATAGCATAATTTATTTTTTTCTCTTGTGAGCCTCTTTGGAACAGACGCAAAACTCACAGAGCAAATGTATGTTTCATGTGACCTTCAGCATCTGAAGTTAAAGCTGAAACTTAGAAAATGGAGTATGGAAGTAGGTGGATGATGTAAAAATATTTTCTTCTGGCTAGTTTCCACTTGAGTGACTGATTGTGGTGGCTCTCAGTTTCATCACTGCAAGACAAATTGTTCAATATGTTTTGAAAATGTCCTCAATCCGATAGACATGAAAAGTGAGTTTAGGCACTTTTTCTGTGGCCAGGATCTCAGTGCCTGCAGTTGGATGATACTTTTAAAGTTAAATATTAATTTTTAAATAGCTTCAGAATCAGTTACTTCAGTGATGATTTTTTCCCCTTTTTTTAGTAGTTACCTTTTTTTTTTAGATTGAACAGCCAGTAAGATACAGATTTATTTGCAGTGTTGATGTACAAAATTCTGTTTTTTTGCAATGATACAGGAGCAAGTCCATTACTTAGATACTTGGAAAAGCTCTGCATAGATGTTCAGAATTCAAGCGGAGCATGAGCAGTTAACTTGATTGTGAGATTCAACAGGTTTTCTTTGCAAGAAGCTGACTTGCCAAAACAGTTTTTTGAAGGCAACATGCCAACTCTGGATAGGTATTCCAGTTTTGGCTTGAATAAGGTTATTAAGTCTTAACTGGAAAAGAAAGAAAGAGAGAGCAAGAGAGAAAGGAAGAGAAAGAGAGAGAAAGAGAGAGAGAAAGAGAAAAGCAAGAAGAGACTGAAAGTGCGCCCCTATATCAGTAAACAATGTCCTAGAGTTAGGTTTCTTGCCAAGAAATCTGAGAACTCCTTTGCAAGTTCCTATTTGAACACCGTCTGTTTCTCCTACATGACAACCATGTCAATAAGTACCTAGTTGGGCAGAGGACCCTCTATTTTTAAAAAACTTCCAACAGAATTTTAAGTCCTTCCATACATTACAGAACAGGAAGAGCTTTGGAACCATGGGCAGTTTTGTATGACATGAAAACTATTACCTTCTCACATCTATTCATAAAACAGAATATAAGGAATTTAACCTGTTAACAGACTAGCTTTCATTTTGAGTTTTGAAGGTTTTTAATCAGTTATTGCAATATAGTAAAATATAGTAGGAAGAAAGGATTTGAGGAATGTAATACTGAAATGATGATATTTGCCCCAAGAGACAGATCTGAGTTGCATTGTCTTATGATTACTCTTTAAGTTATGTATCCACTGGAATTCTTCCTTATCACAAACATTGACAAATATTACCTTAAAGTAAGTATACAGTAAAAATTAATACTAACTTCTGATATATCTTTGCTTTAATATTGTTTATAGCTCTTTTTTTATATATACTTGGTCCCCTTGTTTTTTTATACTCTCAGTAAGATGAGAGGAGGTGTGTGTCAAACTGAAGAGCGGAGTGGCTATTTTTGCAGGACCTTGAATAGGCTGGAAAAAATGTACTGATGGTCATGGGTTCCAACAAAAGCAAATGCTAAGAAGTCCTGCTCCAGGCATGGAATAACTATGTGTAGTAGTATAGGCTCAGTCCGACCTGGTAGAAAAAAGCTCTGCCGAAAGGGGTCTGGTAGACAGTAAATTGAGCATGCATCTGTAAGGACCAACAGCACAGCTGGACTATATTAGTGGAAAAATAGCTATCAGGTCCCAGAGGGTAATCTTTCGCCTCTGTCTGACACCTGAGAGAATGCACATCAATATAGTGGACTGAGTCCAGCACAGGGTCACCAAGATGGTTAGGGGGCTGGTGCACTTGGTGTATGCAAAGAGACTGAGATACGTGGTCTAGCTCAGCCTGGGGAAGAAAGGGCTCAGGGAGCTGTCTACAGATGTCTACAGCTACTTGATGGTAGGTCTGTAGAGAAGATGGATCCAGAATCTCCCCAGTGATGCCCTGTGGAAAGAGGAGAGGCAGGAGACACAAGCTTGGACATGAGACATGTTGATTAGAAATTAGGAAAAGGTCTTTCATCATGAGATTGGTAAAACACTGGAAGAGGTTTCCCGGGGAACTTGCGAAACTTCTGTCCATGGGAGTCTAAAAAACTCGACTGGACAAAGTCCTGAACAATCTGCTTTAACCAGGCCTGCTTTGAGCAGGAAGTTGGACCAAATTGTCTCCAGAAGTGGCTTCCAGCTTATATGATCCTGTAATCCTAATACAAAAATTGCAAGTCTAATTTATTACTTTCAGTCACACTTTCTCTGCTAAATTCTCTATTGAAGAGTTGAAACCTCACAAGTTAGAGGAAAATTATATTGATCAAAAATATATAATAACTTTATATTGTTTATGTATGATTTATTTATGTAGTACTACTATTAACATATCAGTCTATTCTTTCAAAAGTTGGATGCCTTTTCAAGAACTGAGTTATAGGACCTCAAAAGTAATACAGATCTTTGCATAAAGAAAATAATATATATATGCATACTGCTTTCTAATCTGCTAACTGCTAATTTACTGTGTTCAGATAAGCAGTTACTATAGCTTTACTCACAATAAAAGTACTTTGCTTGCTTCGGAAAGTGTTAAAACAGATTTAGAACAACAGTGACTCAGAAAACATTATCTGATGAATGGTAATTGAGTTGAAAATGACAGAACTGCAAAACTAAATTTAAATTCATGGTGAACATTTTTTTTAAAAAATGGCAATGTGCTGATAAATTACGAGCCTTTTCAGAGAAGTTAAGAAATGAGAATGACTAATTTTGCAGTTTAAGAAAAACCATATCCCAGCAATTTAAATCCTTTTACCACCCACCCGCTTGGTGAACAAAGGAAGAAAAAAAAAAAAAAAAAAAAAGGCAGAGAGAGACCTAAGAAACATTCAAATCAGTGTAAAGAAAAGTAATCCAGTGATGTTGCCTAGAAGTCTTTCACAGCTCTCTCTGTCAGGAGCATTGGGTGCAGAAGGCTTTCTTGTTGCTAGAATAGTGAACTGCAAGAGAGGCTGCAACATTGCTCCAGCTCTTGGCCATCTCTGAAGAGAGATTTTGCTTCAGCACTAGCACTAATGGTCCCAGACCCCATTTGGGTGGGTTCATGCTCAGATCATATCAATGAAAATCTCTGTAAAGCAGAAACATGGGAGTTAATAGTGGATCCCTTCTGTACTTGCTGCAGTGTTAAATTAATACTGTAGATTTCAAAGGGCATTGATAATTCAATCAAAGAGCAGAGAAAATAAACTGAAGTCACTAAATCTCTTCTCCAATTCAGCTGACAAGAAATGTGGATGTGTGTGTGTCAGTAAGGAAGGGAACGGGAATTTTGACAAGCTGGTTGGAGCAAATATTATAGTTACATAAAAATGTCAAGTGTACTTTAAATCTCTGACAAGCCATAATCAGCTCTAAAGACTTATATATGAATTAATGTTGAAAAGCAAAACATCCAAATGTTCTAGGTGACTACAAAAGTTGGAACTTCTTTCCCATGAGCACTTATGGAGCTCTAATCATTTTGAGGAGAAAATATGAATATTCTTCTCTTCATACCTCATGCACTTATCTGTCAGAGATCAGTAGAGTAGACTTACTAATAGCAACAAAAGTAGTAACAATCAATGTCACTTTTATGAATTAAGCATACGGAATCTAGTAGAATGACTACGCTGTTTAGCTGCATGGTTTGAATGTGCTTCAGTAGGTTACTAGCAGCGCCTCTCCAAAGTTCTTGCTTCTTACGAGTGCCATTCTTATTCCATAGCTTGCAAAATTCTTCTAAAATTATTTTAAGGCTGATCAAAGGAAAGAGAAAAATCATTTTATTAAGACTCTTGACACTGTTTTGCTACATCCATCCCTTGAATTTTGAAACTAACCCTTCTGTTACCATAACTCCAAAAGTTTCAGCGATGGGAAAGTCTTAAGTACGGTCTTCATCAAATGCTCGGAATATTTTCACAGCAACTTAGTTTATTTAAATTATTTCTCCATCAGTTAATGTATCTCATAAGACGATAAGATGAATTATGTAGTTAATATTTTAGCAAGTCTTACAACACTAGCTGATGTTTAGGAAAACATACGACTGTAAGACATTATTAAAGAGTTTATTTTATAAAATATTCTGATTTTTGGAGCTATATTTGCTCTCCACATGAAAAAAATATACAGTGTGAACATTATTTAAACAAAAGAAAAATCTAAGTCTGTCTGAGGCAATATACATAAAATTAAGTAATAATCTACACAATAGTAATCAGAAAACTATATGTTTGAATTTCTTTCTTTTCTAGCACCCCTAACAGATAAACCACCAAAGCTTTTACATCCTTTGGAGAGTAAGCTAACAGTTCAGGAGGCCCAGTTAGGTAAGTAGCAAGCACATATTTTCTACCTATATTGTATGGAGATATTTTGTATGTTAATGTGTGATGCTAATATAATTATATGACAATGTTAATATTTTCATTGAAAAGACATTCAAACACATTTTCATGCACAATTGTATAATATGCCATCCAGAAGTGTTACTCCTGCTAATTTGTAGTAATGAATACTAAATGTTAAGCTCTTGAATATAACTGAGTTATTCAAGTTTGATATAAAGATATAAAATACACTTCAACTTATTTTATTGAAAGTAAAAATCTGTACTTGAAATTCACTGTTTATTTAAGACAGTGTGATTTTTCAGTTTAAATTTTGCCTACAAGACTCCTGTGCTTTGTTGATTATCTATAAAATTGCAAAAATATTCTGAATTTATAAAAGTTATGCTGGTCTCAAACCTACTGGGAGACAGTGAGAAGATGCATAATAGTATGTGATTACTTTGAATGTACAGTTATCTGAGGGATGTAATCTTTGTGACAACAAATTGAGAGAAATTCGGTCTTGAAGAAACCTTTTTATTTTTTTCAGCCTTGTGGATGGTGGGTATGTTTCATCACTTTGGTCTGCTAGCACTGTATAGGGAATTAAGGGTCCAAAGCTAAGTGAATGACTTACTATAGCTTGCAGGATGTTACAATCCATCTTCTTTGTGACTTGACACAGAGGGCAGCTTGTAAGAAACAATCCAGTGTAGGTTACACTGGAATTATGCTTTGGTGTCCATACAGCTACCAATCAATAGATCTTTTAGCATGTTAGCTACAGAAACAAATGGGGGGAAAAATACGGTGGTTCAGTCTAAATCTCAGCCAGACCTTTGCAATCTAGAAAACAAAACAAAACAAAACCCAGGAGATTCTACTGTGCAGCACCAGGAATGGCAGAAGCCTTGCGACTAAGGTATGCAGTCATTAGCAGTATTTTATGGCTCTTGCCAGACTATACTGAATAATAACTATCATGTACTTCAGCTTTATTTGGATATCATGAAATACTGCACATTGTAGATATTCAGATAATGCTCTGAGGTTTTGCTACTCGTTTTCTGAAATGGTTACACTGAAAAGAGAGGATATAAATATATTGCATTATAGAAAGAATTTGTTTTTCAAGGTGTTGTTTTGATATATTCACTCAAAAAAAAATCCTATGTGACATTTCTAGATTATTTTTTCTTTTTATTCACATAGAGACCTAAGGAACATAAAGAGAAATGACTCTGTGCTTTTTTTCCTAACTAATTTGTTTACTGAAATATTCTCTTTAAATAATAAATGCAAAGCCTTTTTGGGCCATTATCTTGCCTAAATGTACCATACTGATAAGACTAATTCAAAAAGAGTGTAATTCTTAGCAGCTATCTAGAGCTTTTTTTTTTTTTTCTGTATGCTTGTAATGATTAATCATATGTTTGACTCCTCATAGTTCTAAGAAATAGAGTGAATAATTTGAGAAGTGCATGATTATGGAAAAGACACTTTTTAAGAAGGCTTAATAGCTACTGGTGTATGTGAAAGTATTCACTTTAAAATGTCAGCTTCAGATACATATTAGAAGGACTGACCATAACAAAAAGTGAAGCTATAATACTTTACCTTCTATCAGGGAGCTACAAAAATATGTTAATTTATTGCTTAAAAGTCTGTGTAAAAATAAAAGCCTGTGAGGGCTGGGGCAAGTATAAAAAACATGAAAATAGTTTTGCACCTTCTCTTTAGATTAACAGTTTTCATAGTGTATTTTGCTTTCAATGTGGAATGGTATCATTGGCTTCAATGAGCCAGTTCATATCTTAAAAGAATATAAGATGCCCTGACGCTGCAATAAAGTTCAGATTCACTTAACCAAACCTTAAGCAGTTATATAAGCTAGCAGCCAACTACCCACTGGAGGCTTGCACGATCAGGTGTTGCAGACTAGCCTAGACACTCCTGGAAAATAGATGTTTGTCCTCCAGAAGGTGTTTGGGGTGGTGTGTTTGTCTTTTATTTGACAAACAATAAGGCTTGAGGAGTGAGTGGCACACAAAAGGAAGGGCAAGGAGCACAGAGCTTGAGGTAGTCTGGGTTTAACTCAGCAGGTCAACAGTCCATGCATTGTAGAGATGGCGCTTCCTACAATCTCATCTGGCTGCAGTCCTTCAACTGGAGTTGGATATGAAGGCAGGATACGAGTGTTCGGGCATGCACTGGGGGTATATGCACATGTCTTGTGGCTATGGGGTGTGGGAACGTTAATTACTATGGTTTACTGCAAAATGGTCCTGAGCTGGCAGGCTGATAAGAATGCTGGTCGGCAGCATTCTTAGTGCTGAGTAGTCCCAGTGTATTTGAAGTTTCTAAAAATAGTAAAAGTAAGAGTCCTTGAGTTCAGACCTCAGAAGTGAATTAACTGACATTGTTTTTTATATAATGTATAAATGGAAAACCCTAAATTTCAGATAATATATTTTCTTTTTAATTCGAGGCCTATATATATATGTACATGTTTTGTGTCTATATATGTGTGTATATATGTATAAATTCTATTCTGGATTACCATATTGGCAGATTTTAAGTCTTTTGATTTTCGCCTCTCGGGCAACAGCAGATTTCCCACTGGCATTGTAAAATATATTTACTTAATCATGCAAACAAGAAATATACTTTCAGTCTTATTCTAGAAAATATAGTTTTATTATCCAATTGGTTTATCTTTATGTTTTGAAAGAAGACAGGTGCATCATCACACCAGAGAATACTGGCTCTGAATAAAACACTACTAAATAATGATTTTAAAAATGTCACAAGTTAGTTAGCCTATGTCCTCACCATTTTTCGATACAACAAATATCAAAATTCTCCTAGAAAAATAAAGCAAAAAAGAATAACTTGAGCACTATATGAGTGGACATAAGAAAGAAGTTTGTATAGACACCTAAATGTTTTCTTCATCATCTGAAGCTAATGAGTTTTATCCAACACTAAAAAGCTAATCTTTTGAGCCAAGTATGCAGGGTAGAATTTTTTTCTTCTTTGATTTTAGGACATTTTTTCAATAATATATTAATATAATGACATATTCAATAATTCTGCATGATGACTTGGGGCTTCCTTCTTATTTCTCCCCTTCCCCACATATATCACTGAAACTCCTTTTATGTATTGCTCCTAAATGAAAGATAGAAAGAATTCCCAGAGTTAAATCTTCAGAGAGAGGAGAATACTAGTCCATTCATAATACCACATTTTAATAAAAATCTTCTGCACAAATCGACCTTATTAATGATGAAAGCATCCCTTAGCTAGCCTAATCAGTAGCTGTATAAATAAATTAACTAAAGTGATAGGAATTAACTAGCAATCTGTGTCTCTATTCTGTCTGAAAATTAAACTGAAAGAGTATCTAAAATTATTTCTTATCTCGGTACAATTCATGTGACTCCATAACAGGAACAGAATCATTTTCATGATCATATATCTATTTTTAAGATTATCTTTTTTAATTACACCAGTGCTATTTAAATTAAAATGATATTTTCTGAGGATGAAAATTCTAACCCTTTCCACACTGTTTTGGTGTGGCAGCACACACTAACAACTAGAATATACCCATTAAATGAACGTCTGGGACAGCCACTGGCCTTTGTAAAGTTTAAGGTAAGGTATTTCTTCCAACCACACACCCAGTGTGGAGCCAATGTGTGATTTTCCTTTTAGACCAAATATTCAGACTTTGGGCTGCCCACGGGGTCTCAGCAGTGTGGTGCTTGGGTACCCTTACTACCTCACTTTCACTCTTTGTATTAAGAGCGGCTAGCATCTCCTTCATCTGATTCCTCTTTAAAAATACATCTGTGCAAATATTGCCCAAAAAGAGAGTGGTAAGAGGTTAAGAGTGGATTTTATCTATGCTGCCAGCTCTGTTAGTAATGTCTATTAGAAATATCCAGCAATATTGGCAGTGGGTCAGACTTCCAATAAATATCACTACCATTTGGCTGAGCTGCCTCCTTCACTACTTACCTAGTAGTATCACAGAATTGGAAGGGCAGAGTGTCTGCTTTCAGTTCTGAATCCCAAACTCTGAACAAACATAGATCCTGAATGACTGAGATGAAAAGATAGAAGAATTATTCTTATATTCTGTAATGAAATCTACTAGATGAAAAAGCATGAGAATTTTCCTTTTCTTTCAATTTCTCATTGTCCATGAGGAAGAAATGCCACTGTAATTGGAGCAATCATCAATATCAAGGAATTGAGGAAAGGTCATGTTTCTTCCTCCAATTCCATTCTGTTACTTCTGCTTAAACGCTAAGATTAGAGCTCTAAGAACAGCATAGGTTTTAAAAATCTATTTTGTTTTTTTCAGATAGTTTTTCCTGTATCAGAGCAGGAAAGAGTTCCCTAACTAATCAGCTACAGATTTAAAGAAGACTTTAGCATAAGAATAGTGTATAACGTCACACAGAATATACTTGTTGCTTTGGCTGTGCTAGTATGAATGTGATCTCTTGGAAGATAGGCAAAATCTGTTTTGCTTAGCAGTTAGTTTCTTCAAAGATTTTAGGTACCCTATAGTCCTCTTTACAGACTCTCCACCATTAGACCACACAATCCTGTTATTCTCTAGCAGAAGCTCTCCTCACCCGGTCAAATACAGTTTAGTAAGAGACAATACACATGTTAGTACCACTCAATAACACTAAGGAAATGTTTGCAGTTGCAGTTCAATGTGACCACATTAGCTAATTCTTCTCCCCTTTTTCCTAATTTAATAATAACCTAAAAGGTCATAATTAAGATAATTAGAAATATCTTCCATATGTATTTTAGACAGTTTTCTCTCTGTATGTCTGTAACTGCCTGTAAACACATAAATATACACATACATTTGATGTTCCCCTATATGTATATATACATAACTCTTACCAAAACATTTGTTCAAATTTTATCTCACTTTATAAATGCTTTGTCTGAGAAGCCTTTATGTG